TAACACTATTTACCCATCACAATAAAACAATTTCAGCCGCATGAACACAATACAACATCACAATACAACATTTCAATTACAAAATATAAGGCACAACCAGGAACAATCTTAATAACACCTATTTCTTAACACAGTCCCTGACCCATGGCAAGAGATAGTCCTCCTTCCAATGGGTCCCTTGTGGGGTGTCCAGGAAGCACCAGAGGACCCTCCCCTTAGGGCCTTGACTAGGTGGGAGGGCTGCTCACCTAGCTCCTTCTCTGGGTTTGCCTATCCCAAACTTTCCCCTGTGGGACCCAAAGGCCCAATGACTCTCACTCCCTCAGGTGGCAGTGGTCAGGGCACAGCTTGATGGGGTTTCCTCTGCTGGAGTGCCTCTCCTGGCTTCTCCTGTGCTGCTGGGCTCCTCCCCACCCTGTGCCCCGCTCTGGGCACCGAGGGCTCAGCTCCTCTCAGCTGCTGTACCACTGCCACTGGCTCCTGGGTGCTGGGCCTCAAGCTGCAGCACTACTATGTCCCCATGGCCTGGCTCGGCACTGAGGGCTCTTTTAGCACAGGCTGGGATCTTCAGGCTGTGGCCATCCATCCTTATGCCGCGTGGCTAACCCAAACAGCCTCCACTGCTCCTGTCTCCACTCCCTTGTGCACCGCCCTGCACACTGTGTGGCCTGCTGGCCCTCCAGGGTTGCAGGCTCAAGCTGCTACTTGCAGCTTCCAAAGCCTGGGCTCCACGCACCGAACTGCACCGTGATTAGTCCGAGCAGTCTCACACCACTCCCGGGGCTGAGTTTCCACACACCGTCCCTGTGCACCAACAGCCCAAGCAGTCTCGCACCATTCCCAAGGCTGCTCCTCCAGGGGCAGCTTCAGGAGCCTTGGGCCTTTTGCCCTCTGTGTGAGAGCTCCCCAGCTTTTCTTGGCTCTGCTCTTCTTGAGTCCCTCGCTGCATCTGCCCCTTGTACTGGGCACACAGCTCCTTTCATACGCTCCAGGGCTCCACCCCTGAAGTCTTCCGGACCTGACAGTTTACAGTCTTCAATCAGGTCCGGGCAAGCTCTTCTCACCCTCCCCTCAGGAAAGGGGCATGACTTTATTTCTCCTGCTGCCTCCTGATTGGTGGATGGGCTCCACCAATCAAAACAGCAGGTTCTCAAGCCTGGGACTCAACCCAAGCTCTGAAAGGTGAGCCTGCTACATATACTATATACTAGTATTTCCCTGTTAATAGTTAATATAGTTTAATGTTGTACTAGTGATTTTTAGAGCAGTCTAATGGATATTCGAGGCTTGCTTGAACCATGGAAGAGAATGAAGAGGGAAAAATAAAATGTACTATAAAAATACTGAAAAATTGCATTCTAAATTTAAGCACACTGTATAAATCCAATTACACTTTTGTTTCCATTTAACTTCTTTTGGGTCTTGTTAAAAAGATATTCTCTCCTCTCCTTGGAGTCTCTACTTCTTCTGTACCAAAGAAAATAAATCCATGACTTCTCTGAAATAAAACTGCCATTGAATACCTCTTAATTTCTACATTTAACATCCCAAACTTGTTCTGTGCATTCTAGCATTTTAAAAATGTGGAATCTTTCAAATACAGTCAATACACATGGGATAGGTTTCCATTTGACGCAGTATTTTCTTTAATTCTTTTATAAATTTTATTTCCTAATTAGAGATGAGATTAATCTCTGGTTCTAAATACTTTGGAAATGTTCAAATGCATAGCTGAACTACACAGATTTTTCCTATCATCATAAGAGGCAAATCAAAACCTTGCATTAAAATACCCCTACCACAGGGGATAGTGCAGATTTCAAATCTAGTTTTGGACCCTATCTTTGTTGATAGATCATGAAATGGGATTTTTTTCTTATTATCTTACTATCTGTTTAGGGAGAGGAATGCTTCTTTGTTTCCTCATAATGGTATGAAATCCACTTTTCTTTGAATAAACCATAAAAACTAGGCTTTGCAAAGACACTTTGCTTTCATAGGAACATTGAATTTGCCAGAACTGTGGGCACAGATAATAGGGTTCAAGTGCAGGCACTGCAGCTGCCATTCTTACCTTTAAGATGCAATAGTCACCACAGTCCATCTGTGGAAGATTTTCAGGACCATGCATCTACACAGAGACTCCCTATGTCTGAAGAAGGGTACCTGTGCCTGAAACCTTACAAAGAACTTTTTTCCAACTACTTGGTCTACTGGATATCACATCTACCTAAAGAAGCTTGCCCGCCTGTCCATCTACACAACCACAGATCCAGAATTCATTCCAAGTCTCATAAAATCATAGAAAATTAGGGTTGTGAGGAACCTCAAGAGGTCCTTACGTTTCACTCTAGGAATTAGAGGCCAGGCTGCTGTGTCATTGCTGTGTTTATAATCACTCCTCATGGAGAAGCACTCTGAAATTTTGCTGTCTTGGACTATATTACACACCATGCTGGGGTGAATTTCACCATAATTTCCACTGGCTAAACCTGATTGAAAACCCTTATTCATAGGCAGGGCTGGTGTAACTGGTCAGATAGCACAGATGACTGCCTAGAGCAACAAATTAAAGGGGCAGCAAAACTGGTGTGCGCACACCTCACACATGCTCACTGCAAGCTGATAAAGGAGCCTGAGCATATGCAGAAGTGAGCATGACAGCTCTGGCACTGTGGAGCTACTGCTCTTGGGCTCTGTCTGGTGCCCACCCTCACCAGGCCCCAGGCACATTACAAGGGAGGGCAGCAAAATTTCATTTGCCCAGGGCAGGAAAAATCTCTGTTTTGCTTCTGTTCATAGGAATAGTCCTTACTCACAGAAGTAACCCAGTTGGGTTAAGAGGGATGATATGCATAAGTTAAGATTTGAGGAGTATGAGTCTCGTTTTGTTTCTTTTTCCATTAGCAAACAGTATCACAGATGTACTCCTAAATTCACCATGACTAATATGACAAAGCTTTACCAACCTACTATTCTCTGCTTTGTGGCTTTGATTATTTGTTCAGAACTCCTGTGACCTCTGGGTGGGGAGTTCTCTAACATGACACAACGACAGCTATCACCATCATCCTACTTAGTGGTTTTTCTGGAAATTGCTTGCAGTTTAGAAAAACTTTCATTTTAATTTGGTGCATATGTGAAATAAATTATACCAGAGAATGGTTCTGTCAAATATTTATTTAGTATCTTAGAACTTGAGTTCATTTGCCAATCAGATAAATTTAGTTTTGAATTCTTTTATACTGACTTCATATTCCTAACTTGCAAATTCATTTCTAGGCACAGAAGTAACAAATGTTTGCATTGGCTTGTTGTGAATAGTGCTGATATTTAGGAATTTTAATGTACAATTTTAGTGTTTTTATAACGTCATTGTGAATCAAAGGTATAGCAAGAGGAAACTTTGTCCTTAAACTACTTATTCAGTGTAAAGTATGTTCCTATTTTCTAATTCATCTGAGTGTTAAAGTTGGCTCTGTTCAGAGTTTTTGCATAGAATTTCAAAGCTACAGATTCTCCCAAGACATTACTGAGAGAGGCAATAACTTTGAACCTATGTATATTGCTAGGTCCCAAAGATAGACTTTTAGCAATTAACTCGAACAGTGGTTTTCAAACTGGAATATCCATACCCCAGGGGTTACACAACACTTTACCAAGAGGTATGTGCCAAAAATGTAATAACGGCAGTGGAGCTTTTAATTGGTCAGTGGATGATAAGTAACAGCATTGCTGTACATTGATATCCGTTTCAACACCCTTCCTAAGGAACGAGCATGCAGAGATGTGAGAGGTGTATTGGATACAAGCAGCAATATTTTGTAAATAAAGGGGCATGAGGCCAAAAAAGTTTGAAAACTAGAAAAATATAATAAAAAAATGCTGAATGGGATTTTGAGAACTGTTACTACACCTATTATTCTACCAACTTCTTTCTGCATAATTCTGGAGATTCTTTCTCATAAAAGCCACACAATCTTGTGAGGTTTGTGAAAACAGAGCCTTATCTGAAGCCTGTTGAAGTCAACGGAAATAGTTATAAAATATCTTTTGTTGTTAGGTTGTACTGTAGGTATGGTAGCTGAGATTTTTGTATAGAATTGTGACTGTTATGCTCAGACATAATGCTTTGCTGAGGTGTCACTTTATTTGGTTTCAAGTTGTCTTTGCTTAAGTTTATTAAAAGTCAATACATGAAAGAAAAAAGAGTTAATATGATTGCATTTAATTTAGTTGCTAAAACGGAACAACTTGTGAGCAAAAATGATCCAGTAACACCAGGTTCCCATTGTGTTCTAGCCCCTTCTTTTGTGACTATTTTGTCATTGTGAATATTCACATGCATGACTGGGATGATGATCACATAGGGCCAACATTACAAGTAAACGGAAAGATATGGACCGCATACATTTAAGTAAGGCTAGCATTATTAAAAATGTGAACATTAAATGACAGAGGTGACAGGATCTTTCTTCAAAAGTTCAAAAAAGTCTGGGATCACAAAGACAGTGCATTTTGTGTCTCTAATTTCTCAATATTCTAGGCTTTGTTTATTAAAACCTTGTCCACACAGCATTGTATCAGTATTGGGAGATTTAGCATACACCAAGCTTTCAAAACCACCAAAACATCCAGTTTTTCTTGATAGCATTGCAAGGGACACTGCTGAAACGGGTAGTATGGCCCAAAAGGAATGTGTAGAAATGAAAACTTCACCATCACTTGTCTCCCAGGAAGGAGAAAAAGCAAGAGAGAGAAAGTTTCTCTATAAATACATGCTTTCAAAGTGGCTGAAAAATCATGGATGGAGATTCCAAAATTTCTCTAGGTAGCCTGTTCCAATGGTTAGCCACACCCATAGTCAGAAAATTCCTTCTTGTCTCCCAATTTCTTTTCTCACTCTGTCTTATTTATACTGTAGGCTTTTTAGAGACTTCCTCTTTCACAGCAACTTGTGCCCTAATTTCTAATACCAGGAAGCCAAGGTGCCTGTGAGAATGAGCAAGGCCAAGGAGCAGCAAATAGAGGCTAGAGAGAGTAAAGTAGGTAAGTGAATGGGTGGAGCATGAATAAGGTGCTCAAAGCTTCCAATGGAGAAGCAGAAAGGGAGAGAATATCAGACCAGATCTCTAGTCAATCATTATAAATTTATCCATCTTCATGTACCTCAGTGTCAGCCTCAGGAGCCCTGAAAACTATTAACGCTATCTGTTTTGGTTTGCAGGCATGCAGGGATGCTAACCGTGTCACACTACCTATGCTTATCCTGTCTTAGCCTTTCATTATGCTAAGTTATTAAGGTAAAGAATTTCTGATGCATTGATTTCAGAAGGTTCAAAGGTTCAAAGTTTTATTTCAGCCAAGCACCCTAAAGTCTGGACACTTCTCCAGAATTCATTCAAAGTTCATGGGTATTCTTAATTTCAAGATCTTCAGAATTCCACTACAACCTCTTTCTTAAAAGAATATGTCCTCCTGCTGACCCTTTCCTCCTTTCCTCCCTCCCTGCAGAGGCGAAAGGGTTTTGGGGGGCTAAAAAGTAGTCTGGTCAAGGTTGGGGGTGGTAGGAGGAACACAGGTCTGGGGCCTAGATAAGCATCTGGGTTTTCTTAGCTTTGGGTCTGTGCACCAAACATGTACAGACATTTGGTAGATTGGGCTAACCTGTTCCAAATGTAATAGTACACCTGCTCAGGTGAATTAATTTAGAATAGGCTGGCCATTTTTTGCCCAATTTAACCTTCCCAAACTTCTGCACTTAAACTGACATAACCCTTGTTAGGTTGGTCGAAATGTAACATCTGCACATCCCTTAACTGCTCAAGCAAAAAGGGCTAACAGTAGCGGTAATGGATGTGTAGTCAGGCGGTAGCATAACAGCCAGAGTGCCAGGATGTCCCGTTAGGTGTGCATCTGGCCACAAATCAAAAGAACTAGTGAGTCTTGTTTTAGGCATACATGTATTGACTTTATCACTTCCAGCAAATAGTCATTAATAATTCAAGAACACATTTCAGTAAAGCATCTGAATAAGCAGAACTTCAGCTGCAGAGATGTGATAATATTTCTAGATGCAAAAATATGTATTATTTATTATGTTTCATAAACTGAAATTCATGGATTAAATATATTTTGTGACGTTATATTTGGAGCTTTTGGAGAAATTGCACAATTTCATATTGTATGCATAATAATCTTATTCTGAAATATATGAAAACATATCATACAATTGCGTAGTACGTAGAACAAAAAAGCATTCATTCCCCAAATGGGCAGTCTTAGTGACAAACCTAATTTTACAGACTATAGCATGTGAGGAAGTCTGCAAAATTAGATACAAATCTGGAAATCATATATTGATCAGGTCCTCATTTGCAGAAATATAGAAGCTAGGGAAATTTCTGTCTCACAGGTATACTTGTGTGGATACAAAAATTGTCATTCAATTCTCCCAATGCTTTCATGCAACAGTTATGAAGTGTAGATGTTCTAAAAGGCTGTGCAGGATCCAGTGTAATTAAAAAATAATTTATTAACGTAGCATAGAATATTGTAGTCATTTCCTCTGCATGAATGTGCCATTACTGGACAGCCTTTGAAGTTAAAATATTAGGTTTCCTGATTGCTATCTCTAGAGCCAAATTTACCAGTTCGGAGGAGTGGGGGCGCAAATACATTTTTTTTTCAGTTTTTCCAGCGGCACAAGGAGTTTTTTCCTTTTTAACATAACCACATTCATTTGGAAAGCATGCTACTGTCATTGGCAAAGGTCAAATTTGTAAAATAATGACTAATTATTATAATAATTAAAATGTTTTATATTTTGGCTTACAAAAAGCAAAGTTACTAGAACTCTATTGGCTCTGCAGCTGAAAATAAAACCTCAGCCTTGGAAACAGTTACCTATTTCAGTCACCTTACACATGTAAATAGAACCATTGAAATTAATGGAACTTCTCACTTTATTAAAATCAATCACATTTGCAAGATATTTGGCAGATCTGGGACCTGACATTAACCCGCAGAGTTATGCTAATATCATTTTAATGATACTGGTATGTAAATTACATTGTTGTTCATAATGAATATTACTGCTTACATGGTCCATGGGAACTGTTACCGTGGAAGAAAAAAGCCACTCTCAGCTCCATTCAGATCAATGTGTTTGGCAAAGTAAGAAAGAAAAAAAGTAGAAGGAAAAGATGTTTAAAAACCCATCATCAAGTAATGGAGGTCTAAGATTTGTGGATTTTTAAAAAATTAACAACAACAGGAGTGTTTTTATAAAATTAAAAAGAATACCAGTGACATTGTTTAAATAAAGAAGTAATTTAAATATTCCCCTTTCAAATGGAAACCAAAGTACAACATCTGAGCTATTGCTGAGTAAGGTCAAAATAAGGCTTCTGTGCCTGGTCTTCTGTATGTGATGTTTGAAGAATGCATGTTTGGCCTCTATCCTTTTACCCTTCAGACCTAGTTTACTGGAATTTAATCTAAGCAGTTTACTGGAATTTAATCTGAAAATATTTTAAATCCATTGGGCTCTTACAATACCAGTTCAAGGTATTTTTTCTTACACTTACACATTTTCTTGTCGGTACATTCACCATTCAATGACAACCAAGTAACAGAGACAAGAAGAAATGGTATGTTTTGCCCATGTGGTATGGAACACCACCTTTGTTCATAAATGTCCCAAAAATAGGGCTAAGTGGAAAACCAGAATTGTTTTGTGAAAAATGTTGCAGTTGAGAATTTGTTTTCATTATGTATTGGACAAACATAAGTTTAGTGAAACTGTAAACCCCAACTGCTTTTAGTATTTCTTATGCACACCCTCCTCCTGGCCACATTAATACCCTAGTAAGCAAGAGTGGTGAGGAGGAGGAGAGAAACCAAGGGGCTTTGAAGTATGCATGTACAAGCTGGAGATAAGGACGGGGAGAAGAAGGGAAATGCAGAGTGCCTGCTCCAAATCTGGGCCTAGTGTATGTAGAAGAGGCTTCACACATTTGTCTAAAGTAGGGATGTCAACAACTCTCTATGGCTGTGAGATGTGGGCACTCACTAGGGCACTAGAAAAGTGAACTGAGATCTTTGAAATGCAGTGCTTCAGAAGACTTATACGCATACCCTACACTGCACACAGAACAAATTAATCAGTGAAAGATCAAATCAGACAGGAAGTCAGCGAATACAAACCCTTATTTGAAATGAGAACAAAGATGCACTGGTTTGGACATGAAACAAGAAGTGCAGAGTGCTGTGGATGGATGCATAGCTGAAATATATTTTGTGAGGTTATATTTTAGGCTGAAGAGGGCACTGCAGTGCTGGGCTTCTTTCCATGATGTTACTGGGTCTCCAGTGCTGTGGTCCTTGCTGGCTTGGCTGCAAAGCACCTGAACAAGACCTGTGGCATTGAAGCCCCAGTAGTAGTTTGGGAAGAAACCTGGCATCGCAGGCACTTGGCTACTGCCATGGGAACAAGCCACATTGTTGCTGGGGTTCCAGCACTATGGGTCTCGCCTAGACACTTGGCTGCCACCAGGGGAAGGTCCCCCAACAGGACTGTGGACCAGATGACCAGGTTTTGTGGGCCAGATTTGTCTTACGAGCCTTATGTTTGCCATTCCTGGACCTTCTTTCCCAAATGTAAGTGAGGATCTTGTGGAGCACTAACTCTCTGCAAGTCTAAGACCAGTTTCCTGCAACAGAGAATAGGCTGCCCCAAATATGTGAGGTGATGGCAGGGATAGGGTGGCAACTGCAAACAGAAGAGGAGAATATAGAGCTGACAGTCCTCTCTATGGTTCTGCTGCCATCTGTCTTCATTTTCCTCCCTGAACATTCATCTTTTCCATTTTTCACTCCCTCTAATCCCCAACCTTCTCCTTGGCCAGAGATCTAAAACCCTCTCTTACCAACCATTTCCATTTATCCCTTGTCCCAAAGTCTTCATCTGCTCACCATAGGCTCCAGTCCTCTTTCCTGTTTTTCCCCTCCTCAGCAATCTAATACTTTTCTTGCATTCTCTCAATTTCCTCAGCATTGCTCAACCTCCTTCACCACTCTGGCCTCTCATATTATCTAGCTTTGCCCTAAGAAACTTATAATAAAAACAAATATTTTATTATAAATAAAATACTATGAGCAGCTTGTATTAAGGGGTATGCATATTGGGAACTCCATGACCAAGGCACTCAGTGACTTCCTTTTCTTTGATGATACTCAGTTCCACTTGTCAGGAAACATGGCTATATTAACTTAACTGCTTGCAAAAGTATTGCATCTTCTCCCCAGTTAATCAACGTTTATTTCCTTGACAGTATTTCTAAAATAAAACCAGTCTCTGCATAGACTTTTGAGCACTTTAAAATACTGATATTAAACCCAAAGTTTTGGTGTCAAAGCAAAGTTCCCAGAAAAGGACCCTGCAGAACATACACAAGCCACATACCTTGAAAACTGCCAAAGATCAGGTCTAAACAGTTCTCAGGCTCAGCACAAGATTAACAACAAACGTGCATCCCCTAAAACCACTTTTTTTACCATCACAACAGTCTTCCTGGAACTCTTCTTGCTTCCATAGATCCAGAGTCTTGCTGCATGTGCAGACATGGCTCAATCATCTATTTTATCCTGGCTGCTGGTTCTAGCACTAAGTTTAATAACTTTTTCTATAGTGCTTCCTTAAAGTGGCAGTGGGCAGCAAGCCAAGAATGTGGGATCAGTGTGTGGAGGATCAGTGTCATAGTTCAAGTCTTATGTATATGTGCAAAAAAAAAAAAAGGTAGCTGAAATAAATTATTTTTGTAAAATGCCATTTTTAGTGGGGCTTCATTTCAGGAAGCTGTTGATTAAATGACTACAGATTTGAACAATTAACCCAATCCCACACTTGCGCTAGCCACAGCAAATTTCAAGACAACGTGAGTCACATGTGGATTTAAGATTATTAATATTGCCATCATTTCAATAATGAACCTTGACTTTCTAGCAGAACTGGCACCCACTACAATACAAGGTCCAGGTCCTTGTGC